CCCCCAAAGCCCCAGTAGATAGTTGTATGTCATAGCTGCACATCCTTCTAGTTGCTGTATGTGGGACACGGCCTCAGCATGGCCGGAGAAGCGGCGCGTCAGTGCACACCCGGGATCCGAACCTGGGCCGCCAGCAGCGGAGCACACGCACCTAACCGCTAAGCCACGGGGCTGGCCCAAAATTGACAAATTTTTAGAAAGCCAAACTGCCAAAGCTGGTTCAAGAAGAAATGGAAAATCTGAATAGACCTATAAAAAGTAAAGAGATTGGATTAGTAATTGAAAACACTTCCTGCAAAGAAAAGCCCAGGCCTAGATGGCTTACTGGTGAATTCTGCTAAATGTTAAAGAAGAATGTGTACCAATTCTTCACAAACTCTTCCAAAAAAAAATAAAATAAAATAGAACAAGAAGGAACACTTGCCAACTCATTTTATGAGGTCAATATTGCCCTGATACAAAAAAAGACAACACAGAAAAGGAAAACTACAGACCAGTATCCCTTATGAATATAACCGTGACAAAATATTAGCAAACTGAATACAGCAGCACATTAAAAGGATACCTAAGTAGAATTTATCTCAGAATGCAGGGTTGGTTTAACATCTGAAAATCAATTAATGTGCTACGTCATATCAATAGATAAAGGACAATCATCTCAATAGGTGCAGAAAAAGCATTTGACAAAAGCTAACACCCCTTCGTGATAAAAACATGCGGCAAACCAGGATCAGAAGGAAACTTTCCCAACCTAATAAAGGGCATCTACAAAAAACCCACAGCTAACATCATACTCAATAGTTGAAAGACTGAATGCTTTCCCCCTAAGATCAGAAACAAGACAAGGATGCCCACACCTTCTGTTGTATAGGAGATCTTGGGCAGTTAGGCAAGAAAAAGAAAGAAAAGGCATCCAGATTGGAAAGGAAGAAGTAAAACTCTCTCTATTTGCAGATGATATAATCTTATATATAGAAAATTCAAAAGAATACAAAAAAAGATATTAAAGCTAATAAATGTGGGCTGGCCCCGTGGCTTAGCAGTTAAGTGCGCGCGCTCTGCTGCTGGCGGGCCGGGGTTCGGATCCCGGGCACGCACCGACGCACTGCCTCTCCGGCCGTGCTGAGGCCGCGTCCCACATACAGCAACTAGAAGGATGTGCAACTATGATGTACAACTATCTACTGGGGCTTTGGGGAGAAAAAGGGAAAAAAAAAATGGAGGAGGATTGGCAATAGATGTTAGCTCAGAGCCGGTCTTCCTCAGCAAAAAGAGGAGGATTAGCATGGATGTTAGCTCAGGGCTGATCTTCCTCACACACACACAAAAAAAGCTAATAAATGAGTTCAACAAAGTTGCAAGACACAAGTTGAATATACAAAAATCAGTTGTACTTCTGTACACTAGAAATGGACAACCTGAAAATGAAATTGAGAAAACAATTCCATTTGCAATAGCATCAAAAAGAATAAAATAAGTTTAATAAAAGAAGTACAAACCTTATACTCTGAAAATTACAAAACCAAGTTAAAACTAAAGAATACCTAAATAAATAGGAGGATACCTCATGTCTATGGATTAGAAGATTTAATATTGTTAAGATGACAGTAGTCCCCAAATTCACCTACAGATTTGGTGAAATCCCTATCAAAATCCTAGGTGGCTGTTTTGCAGAAATTGACAGGCTGATGCTAAAATTCATATAACAATTTAATACATCCAGAATAGCTAAAACAATCTTGAAAAAGAACAAAGTGGAGGGCTGATGCTTCCCAATTTCAAAACTTACTGCAAAACTATGGTAATTACTATGGTCTAAATGTTTGTGTCCCCCCCCCAAAATTCATACATTGAAATCCTAACCCCCAAAGGTGGTGATATTAGTAGGTGGGGCCTGTGGGAGACACTTAAATCATGATGGTGGAACCCTAATGAGTGGGATTAGTGCCGTATAAGACTCCAGAGAGATCCCTAGTCCCTTCTGCCGTGTGAGGATACAACAAGAAGTCTGCAACCTGGAAGAGAGCCCTCACCCAACTATGCTGGCACCATGATCTCAGACTTTCGGCCTCCAGAACTGTGAGAAATAAATGTTCGTTGTTTGTAAGCTACCCAGTCTATAGTATTTTGTTATAGCAGCCCTAACAGACCAAGAGAGTAATCAAGACAGTGTGGTCATGGCATGAGGAGAGACATGTAGATCAACGGAATAGAACTGAGAGACCACAAATAAGCTCTCACATTTATAGTGAATTGATTTTCAGCAAGGGTGAAAAGTCAATGGGGAAAGAATAGTCTTTCAACAAATGGTGCTGGTACAACTGAATGCAAAGGAATGAACTTGGACCCTTTCTTCACATCACACACAAAAATGAACTCAAAATAGATCATAGACCTAAATGTCTATTTAAGAGCTAAAAGTATAAAAAACCCAAAAGTATAAAACTCTTAGAAGAAAATACAGGAGTAAATCTTTAAGACTTTTGGTTAGGCAAAGCCTTCTTAGACATGACACCAAAAGCACAAGCAACCAAAGAAAATAGATAAATTGGACTTCATCAAAATTAAAAACTTTGGTGCTTGAAGAACACCATCAAGTAAGTGGAAAGACAACTCACAGAATGGGAGAATATTTGCAAACCATGTATGTGATAAGGATATCTTATCTGTAGATATGTAGATATTTATATAGAGAGATATCTATAGATAGGGGTATTTAGACTATTTAAAGAATTCTCACAACTCATTAATAAAAAGGCAAATAACCCAATTAAGAAATGGGCAAAACAGGGGCCGGCCCCGTGGCGTAGTGGTTAAGTTCAGCGCGCTCTGCTTCGGTGGCCCGGGTTCACAGGTTCGGATCCCAGGCATGGACCTACACCACGTGTCAACCATGCTGTGGCAGGTGACCCACATACAAAACTTAGAGGAAGATTGGCACAGATGTTAGCTCAGGGCTAATCTTCCTCAAGCACAAAAAGAGGAAAATTGGCCACAGATGTTAGCTCAGGGCGAATCTTGCTCAGCAAAAAAAAAAGAAATGGGCAACACAATCTAAATAGAAATTTCTCCAAAGAAGATATACCAATAGCTAATAAGCACATGAAAAGATGCTCAAAATCATTAGTGATCAGAGAAATGTAAATTAAAACCACAGAGACAGATAATAAGTATTAGTGAGGATGTGGAGAAATCAGAACTTCTGGTGGGAATATCAAATGGTGCAGATGCTGTAGAAACAATCTGGCAGTTCCTAAAATGTTAAACATATAATTTAGCAACTCCATTCATAGGTTTACAACAAGAGAAATAAAATATATGTCTACACAACAACTTGTACAGCATTATTCACAATAGCCAAAAAGTGGAAACAACCCAAATGTCCACCAGCTGATAAATGGATAAAGAAAATGTGGTACATCCATACAATGGAATATTACTCAGTTCTGAAAAGGAATGAAGTACTGATTCATGCTATGACATGGATGAACTTTAAAAACATTATGCTAAATGAAAGAAGCCAGTCATAAAATACCACATATTATATGATTCCATTTATATGAGATGTGCAAATAGGCAAATCCACAGAGACATAAAGACATAAAGTAGATTAGTGGTTGCCTAGGACTGGTGGGGTTTGAGGCCAGATGAAGAGTGACTGCTAATGGGTGTAGGATTTTGGGGGGATGATGAAAATGTTCTAAAATTGATTGTGGTGATGATTGTACAACCCCGTGAGTATGCTAAAAGCCATCGAATTATACACTTTAAATGGATGAATTGTATAGTATATGAATTATATCTTGATGAAGCAGTTATATTAAAATATACTAAGTGAAAAGTTTGCAGAACCATATATATTATATGAATATATTTTTGTAAAATAATATATTTACAAGTTCCTAATATAACACTATAATCTTAAAAATTAGCAAAATTTGTGAAGCAGTGGAAAAGAGACATTGGTGTATTTTCTCTTGATATAGTAGTTTTAATCAACTTACAGATCTGGTGACAAAATTTCTTAACAGTAATTAATATCACCTCATTGATAAAATAGTAATATCAGTAGCATTTATTGCATCCCTTTTGTATGTCAACATTATACTGAATTCTTTTTCTTTTCTCTTTTTTTTTTGCTGAGGAAAATTCGCCCTGAGCTAGCATCTGTTGCCAATCTTCCTCTTTTTGCTTGAGGAAGATTTGCCCTGAGCCAACGTCCGTGCCAGTCTTCCTCTATTTTGTATGTGGGTCACCACCACAGCATGACCCCCATCGAGTGGTGTAGGTCTGCGCCTGGGAACTGAACCCAGGCCGCCGAAGCAGAGCGCACTGAACTTAACCACTAGGCCATGGGGCTGGCCCCGTGCTGAATTGTTAACGTGAATTTTGTCCTTTGTTTTTTGCAACACCTGATGATGTCGCTGTGTTTTCTGTCACTCTCCCCTTGCTTTCTATTCTCCAACATACCAAAGTTTACATTTACAAAATTGTATTACCAGAATATCAAAAATGCGCCCTTCCTCTTGTTGTTGTTGTTAGCAGTAGCTATAAAGAGAAAAACTGTAGGTCTTAATATGAATTGGTATTTATGTGGTCCTATACAGTTATAGAAGCATATTGATAAATCCATCTGTCTGTATTTAAGTAAGATTTTAAAATTAAACTAAAATATTTTGTATTTTGTTACGATTGATTCCCAATTGGAGGAGAAAAAACTTTTTAGTTACTTGTCGGTTGTTTTGTTTAATGTAGTACTAAATCGGAAAGATAATCATTGGCAAAGATAATTTTTAGAATTTTTTTTTTTCTATTGCAAATATAGACTAGTGTCTCAGTCAGTTTGGGCTGCTATAACATACCATAGAGTAGATGGCTTAAACAACAAACATTTATTTCTCACAGTCTGGAGGCTGGAAAAGCCTAAGATCAAAGTGCCAGCAGATTCAGTTCTTGGTGAGGGCCCTCTTCCTGGCTTGTAGACAGCTGCCTTCTTGGTGTGTCCTCACATGGAGAGCAGAGTGAGAGCAAGCTCTGTGGTCTCTTCTAAGGGCACTAACCCCATCATGAGGAGCCCCCTCATGACTTCCTCTAAACCTAAGCACTTCCCAAAGGCCCCACCTCCAAATACCATTGTGTTGGGGGTTAGGGCTTCAATGTAGGAATTTGCGGGGGGAGGGGGCCGCAATTCAGTCCGTAGCAACTAGCTCTGGTGAAAATCTTGTCCATAAATGCTAACCCTAGCATTTTTTATTTGTTTTAGTATTATGTGCCAAGAACCTTGCAAAGAAAGACTTCTTCAGTAAGTAAACACCCATTTTTGCTCTCTTACAATATTAATATTCTTCACATATTTCTGAAATGTTGAACTTTTTAAAAAACACTGGGTGTATTCTCGTAAAAGTCCTGCCCTTTACTGAACAGAAATTCATGGTTTGACAAACTTCATTTCCCAGTTGACTACAACAAAGAGGCTCCTTAGCTCAAGGCCCAGAATTTATAACTCATGCAAGACAAACTGTCTCTCTCAGTCCCTGTTCCGGCCACACCCTGTGTTCTCTGTCTTCCCACCCATTAATATATTGCTTTCTGCTGGATGAAGCATTCTCAGCTCAAATAGAAAAGAGACATTTTTCTGTGAAATAGTTGGGTTTGAGTAAAATTGTTAGTTAAATTTTATAAATTAAATCACATTTTAAAAGTCTTGTAATTAAAGGAAATGTAAAAAATAAACAGAGGATCCATTTCTCAAGGAAAGAATTACCCCCTAACTTACAAAATTCACCTACTATAAAGTAGGCGCCTGCAGCATGAAATTCTGCACACTCTCTGATGCTCGTGAGAACGCTGCTCAGTTCTTCAGTGGTGTTATTCACACTTTAGAGATGACGAAACGCAGGCTCTCAGGCTTTATTCAGGCAACTAGGAAGCTCCCGAGTGGTGGCTCACATCCAGGTCTGACTCTAAAACTCTTCCCTGGCCACCTGTCTGATCTCACAAACCTGTCTGATTCATGCTCCAGCATTTAGGAACTTACTGAATTAAGACTTGGGGAATACTTGCTTCCATAGATAAAGCAAAGATCAGTAAACAAGATTGCTAGTATTACTATCTTTTAGAAGGTATAAATACAATTAATTACAGACACCTTTTCCTCCATTTAATTTGCCCCCCTTAGTGATCATCAGAAATGGAAATTTGAATTTAAGCCTATTTTTATAGTTTTCTAGCCTCCAAAAATCTGACGGTGATGTCGTACTGGGTTGCCTTTCTTAGAAACCTAAATGGAATTATCTTATTTTGCTGATCGAAACAAACCTTAAATTAGAGACTAAAATGTACCAGGGTAATCTTTACCGAAGTAGATGATCTTGAAGCGCCCTTTAGCCTGCAAGACTGTGTTCTGTGTCACAGTGATAGATCTGTAGTCTCATCCAGGTGTGGCTGTCCCCTCTCCTCTAGGACTCCCTGACCCTTTTGCAAAGATTGTTGTGGACGGATCTGGGCAGTGCCACTCAACGGACACTGTGAAAAACACATTGGACCCGAAGTGGAACCAGCACTACGATCTGTGAGTTGAATATTCTGTGCTCATAGAATTTGGGGAGCGGCAGGAAGGTGGGTATCTAGTTTTTAGGAGAAGGATTTAATAAAAATAAAAGTTTAAAAAAAGGATTACTAACTTCACATTGATAACAAAAGTGGGTGGCCAAATGAATACATATTGCCTAATTTTAGAATTCATATATTTGAAAGTTCTTGCATTTGACATTTTCCTAGATTTTTACGGTTTGCTTCTGTAACTGTGATCCTCAAACATTTCAATCTCCTGGTCATTTTAACAGGAAAAAAGGGCCATAGCTCAGGTGCTCTCTATGCTACTGATTTTTCATTGAAACCCCAAACCTGGTTGTAGAGTTTTTACTTTAAAAATGCATAATTATTATACATATTTATTATGTAAATATATATTATTATATATATTTCTGTTCATTTTTTAAAATTTTGCCTTTTTGTACAAATATATTTTATGCAAGAGAATATATAGTTTGGGAATGCAAACTGGTGCAGCCTCTATGGAAAACGGTATGGAGATTCCTCAAAGAATTAAAAATAGAAATACCCTATGATCCAGCCATCCCATTACTGGGAATCTATCCAATGAACCTGAAATCAACAATCCAAAGAGGCTTATGCACCCCTATGTTCATTGCAACATTATTCACTATAGCCAAGAAGTGGAAGCAACCTAAGTGTCCCTCGACTGACGATTGGATCAAGAAAATGTGGTATATATATACCATGGAATACTACTCAGCCATAAAAAAAGACAAAATCGTCCCGTTTGCAACAACACAGATGGGCCTGGAGGGTATTATGTTAAGTGAAGTAAGCCAGAAAGAGAAAGACAAACACTGTATGATCTCACTCATATGTGGAATATAAACCAACACATGGACAGAGAAAACTGTATTGTGGTTACCAGGGGCAATGGGGGTGGGGGGTGTGCACAAGGGGTGAAGGGAGTCATATATATGGTGATGGACAAACAAAAATGTACAACCCAAAATTTCACAATGTTAAAAACTATTAAAACATCAATAAAATAAATAAATAAATAAAACAAAAAAACAACAAAACAGTGACAGAAAACAGATTAGGGGTTGCCAGGGCCTGAGGGAGAAATGGGGAGTGAGTGCTTTTAAAACAAGGTTTCCTTTTGGAGAATGAAATATTCTGAACCAGACAGTGGTGATGGATGCAGAGCATTGTGAATGTACTTAATGCTCATGAAGTGTACAATTTAAAATGAGACAAAATAAATTGTTAAAAGATAAAAATGCATTATTATTATACATATTTATTATGCAAATATATATTATCATATATCTGTTCATTTTTAAAAGTTTTGCCTTTGCTAGTACAAATGTATTTTATGCAAGAAAATATATAGTTTGGTGTGAATGTATATAAGCCTACGTACCATCAGACAATTTCTTATATTCATTCATAAAATCTACTGCACTTTGAAAACCATTATTTTATAAGTATGTTTTCATATCCCTGCTAAGAAATTTTCGTCAAAGTAATACTGAGTGATTATTGGTTTTTATTAACACAAATTGTACTGGGTTTGGGTGGGAGTTTTAGTAGTTGGATTCTCAGACTCAAGTTCAGTTAGACTAAGGTACCATTAAGTAGCCTGGAAAGTGGTTGTTAATCCTTGTCCTGAAAGCTCCCCTCTATGGTTGATTTGCCTTGAGGGTAAGTGGGGGTTTAATGTATGAGTTAGAACCCTTTAGTGTGCTTTGGATGGGTCTATGGGTTTATAAGGAGGCCCTTGTTGCAAACTAGTATTCTATATTGAGTCTAGTTGGGAGGAATTAATGAATCATGTCATTGTCCTTTGGAACAATTAAAATATAGTAAATCTCTGTTATAAGATTGTTATCATCATGTGGTTATCTACATTTGCTTCTTATATAACCGGTGGTGGTCCTTTTCCCAGCCCACTGAAGTTAGTAGACGTATATTTATGGAGTGCCTGTTACATGTGGATATAGAGCCAATATTGCCTTAAAAGGATTCATCTGTACTCACAAGTTAATCAAATAAAATCTCAGTGGGCTCTCATAATTCAGAAATACAATGAAAATGAGTTTGCATGTTGTTTTCAGATATGTTGGGAAAACCGATTCTATAACCATCAGCGTGTGGAACCACAAGAAAATTCACAAGAAGCAGGGAGCTGGCTTCCTGGGCTGTGTGCGGCTGCTCTCCAACGTCATCAGCAGATTAAAAGATACTGGATGTAAGAACCAAACGCTTTTCTGCCTCTTAATGCAACTGAAGAAGGCTTATGAGGCATCATTTTTTTATTTTTCGAATACTGAATACAGAATTCCTGCCTTCCTCTCTAGTTAACATTTCCCTGGGTTAAGTTTTGAATTGTTTGTTTGCAGACCAGCGTTTGGATCTATGCAAACTAAATCCCTCAGATACTGATGCAGTTCGTGGCCAAATAGTGGGTAAGAACTTTCTCCTCTGTATAAAGAGATGCTTTTACAGAACTTAATATTCAACTCTTCATCACTGAGAAAACACATGTGGGCACTGACAGTGGTGACATACTTTGAAGGACAAACCACAAACGGGGCCATCTCTTTAGTACTAAAAAGTTTCATCTTGGGTGGTTCTTATTATTTTACCTAATTCCCTTCATCCTGTCATTCAAAGTTGAGTTAAAATGACAAAAAGATTCAGGATTATAATTTTAGTCATCACATTAATGGACAATTAATTTGTCATTGTATTATCCAAGTGTAGATGCTAAGAATGGTGCCCACATATGCAAGAGTTGAGAAGTAGTTTCTTCGTAAATGTAAAAGACCCATCGTATATGAAAAAGGCAAAGATAATTTCTGAAGACTTCCGTGTAATATGATGTTTTAGAGTCAGGGGATTGAATTCTTTAGAATGAAAGAATAAAATGTGCTAATGTTACAAAGTGTTGACTGGAGGTATTCTGTTGGAAGTGATTTATCGAAGTAGCTCATCCTATTATCCACCCCATTTTTATTAGCATTTTAGGGTAACTCATGTCGATTGTATGCATTGCAAAGAATCAAAACATAGTATTTCAGCAGCACACCAGAGTGACTTATGACCCCGAATGTTTTAGGTATTGTGTTACGTAGACTTGACCCAAGATAAATGAACAGTGGGTATACATCCTGAAAACTATCATAATGAAAAAGTTCTCACTTAATACTCTTCTGTTTGTGATTTCTTCTTTTCTTTGTGGAAGGATGTCGAGGGGAAGAACAAATGACTGGAAGCAACTTTATAAATGTGTTTGTGGTTCATAGCAGGGATAGAAAATATTTAGATCCATCTAGACTTCGCAAATACTGAAAGTGCTCTCTGTGTCCTTATTAAACATAAGTCAAAATCTTCTTAAAAATAAGGTAACTTAGAGGAAGTGAATATCGTATTCTGTTATTTTTGTGGAGAGCGTGAAAAACACAGCACCTCTTCCTGCTCCACATTTACAAGGAATGTTCGAAGCAGTATGTGGTGGTTGCAACTACTGGAGTAAAATGCTTCGTACTTGAAAGCATAGGAATATATGTGTGTATGTATATACCTATGCCTCACTTTTTTCATAATATTGTACGTATATTATACATTCACAATGGCTCACTGTATTACAATTGTATAAAATACCACTGGATTTTAATGCAAGACATTCTTTTCTGTTTTAGTCAGTTTACAGACACGAGACAGAATAGGCACTGGAGGGTCTGTGGTAGACTGCAGAGGACTGTTAGAAAATGAAGGGTACGTATCCCCGTGGCGATGCTGCTGAGTTCTCTGCTGCCTTAGGCTCTCGCTGTTTTTGAAAGTATCCTTCACACCTTTTCACTGTGCTGAATGCTTGAGATGCAGGAAAGGACTTTGGGATAAAACTGGGATCCAGTTTCCTCGTCTATAAAGGAAGCTGTAAGACTAGTGGGTTGGTGCCCAAAAGACTCAGGATCCTATTTAAAGAGGTTCCCACTGGCCAAAGATGGGACAGTTTGAGCATCAATAAGAATTATAACTGCAATGGATTGAAATACATCAAATATATTAAAAATCCTTGAGTTCATAATGATACAGGGAGGAAAAAAAAACTTCAAACACTGAAAAAAAAAACCACCGATAAAAACCATCAAAAACTCTCATTGGTCACTATCACATTTTGTGATCCCCAGTAAATTAATGGAGCTGGGCAATAATCATTAATAGTTGCTAACAACATCACAAAAGAGAGAGAGTCTGACATGAACATACCTCTTGGAAATGCCGGGGACGGGGGAACGTGTTGCACAGCCCCGAGAGAAGGCAGTTAAGCACTGTCCAGAAGAGGGGCCCTCTGTAAAGTGTGGAAGGCACAGCCCAGGGTCTTCAACAGATGCATTGTAGGAAAAATAAATAAAAAGGAAGAGAACCTATAAATTAATAATAAAAGAGACCTAAGAGCCATACCTATTAAATGCGATGTGTGGACCTCATTTGGATCCTGATTAATGAGACAATTGACTGGAGAAATTTGCACACTGACTGATATTTGATGATATTAAAAAAAACAAATGTATATTTTTTTAGTCATGATAATGGAAAAAGTCCTTATCTTCTAGAAGTGTATACTGAAATATTTAAGGATGAAATCGTAAAATGTTGGGGTTGGTTTCAGAATAATCCAGTGGAGGGAGAAATTGGAAGAATAGCCACGAGATGATCATTGTGTAGCTGGGTGATTAGTCCAGGGGATTCATTGAACTAGGCTCTCTATTTTTGTATAAATTTTAAATTTTTCAATGTAAAATGTTTTTGAAAAGTACTTGCTTATAAGGGAAAATAGACTAGTACATTGTCTTAAATTATTCAGGGGGTGAAGATTTGTGTTAAAGAGTACTTAAAGTCATTGCAGTATTTTTTGTAACTAGGAGTTCTTTTATAGAATAAAGTTACAAGGCAAATGGAGTATTTGGATTTGATTTCAAATCAAGAAAAATGAAACCTCGTTTCATGAGCTCCTGGTGCAACGTTGGTTTTTTTCCAATCATTCAGCTCCACCCGAGGATGAAATCCCTCAGGTGGCCTCCGTGGCACTTTACATATGGCTTCTTTTGGCCACTTGTGCCTCATGAAAAGTCTGTTTATTTAAATAGGACAGGATGAATTTTATGAAACTAAGCACTTGGGACAGTCTATATTGTTCAAGAAAAGCAAAATAAACAGATATGAGAGCATCGCATTGAATTGTAAGGTACTTGTCTTGGGCTGGTGTTCCCATGCGTGCTGCATTCTCCTCCCTTTCAGAACGGTGTATGAAGACTCAGGGCCTGGAAGGCCGCTCAGCTGCTTCATGGAGGAACCAGCCCCTTACACAGATGGTACTGGTGCTGCTGCGGGTGGAGGGAACTGCAGGTTTGTGGAATCCCCAAGTCAAGATTCAAGACTTCAGGCACAGCGACTACGGAATCCTGAGGTCCGAGGGTCACTACAGACACCTCAGAACCGACCCCATGGCCACCAGTCACCAGAACTGCCCGAAGGCTATGGTGAGAGAATTCACCCTGCCATCCCAAGTGTTATTGCAATGTGTCAGAGAGCTTTAATTCTTTGAACCTTTTTTTAGTAACTTGTACACGCCTTTGCTGCCGATGTTGGCAGAGCTGTGCCATACGATGGTTATGTCAGTGTAAAGACAAGTAACCAGAAAAAGCCAGTGATAAATCTTGCTCATCATGAATTTGTCAGCACTTGCTCCAATCTCCCAGTTTAGCAATAGTGTGAAAATTTTGGGCAAATGAATACCAAAGAAAACCAAGAGGATGCGGGGGCTAGATGAGGGTATTTGTAGTGCTCTGTGATTTGAATGTGGAGAGGACAGCGTGGGGTGGAAGTGAAAAGAAGCGATCATTTAACAACCACGGAGGGAGAACCTAAATGAAGGAGGCAAGATCATACCAGAAGAGCGAGCATGTGGAGATAACAGAGGGCAAGGTAAGGTCAGTCCTGAGGTGTAGATCCACATACAACATCTCAGGGGGGTGTGGCTGAATAAGAACACTGCCTCCCCAGGCGTGAATGGGAGGAAGTGAGATCCACCCAATTGTTCACATGGGCTTGTGAGGTGAGGAAGTCAGACAGAAGTTAACCACTGCCCTTTCGAATCCTCTTCTCAGTGATTTTAAAGAATGTTGAAAGGAAGCTTAGATTCTGTGCTTAGAGGATTGGTTGAAAACTTTCCTTGCAATTGAATTGAACTAATTGCATCCCCCAATTGCTTATGCAGAGCAAAGAACAACAGTGCAGGGGCAAGTGTACTTTTTGCACACACAGACTGGAGTTAGCACGTGGCACGACCCCAGGATACCAAGGTAGGTTTTCTAAAATTCGCACCATCAAAGCCGGTTTTCCAGTGGTTGCCTGGACCGCCCCCCTACCCTGGATTGTGGATGATAGAGCCCCTTAGATTTGAAGATGTAAACTTGGAAGAGTGGCAGTGCAAAGAGCGTGTCTGACTCAGGCTCTCTGGGTGAGCGTCCCAGCTCTGCTGCCCCCTCCAGACTCTCCACCTGGTAGATGGCAGCTGCTGTAACTCAAGTGGGTCCTTTAGAAAGCAATCCTGTATCTTGAAATCAGATCACTTGACTGAAAAAGACCCTCACCCCTAGATTAGATCAGATGTGCTCTTACTTGAAAAGTAAACCCTTCACGACGTGTTGCTCTCATTTTAAACTAAAAGTATTGATGGATGAATTGATATGATGTCTGGGATTTGCTTCAAATAATTGGGCTGGGGGAGTCAATAGGGGTATATTTGAAACAGGCTGATGATGAGTTGATAATTGTTGAAGTTGGTTATTCATTGTGGTCTCTCTCTACTTTTTTATATGCTTAAAATTTTCCATAATAAAAAGTTAAAAAGGAAATATAAAGACTCTATTACCCTTTCTCTCTTCTACTTTACTGTCCCTATTGCCTCAGTCCCTTGGGGACCATTCCTGGGGGAGATGAAGCTTTTCTATACGAATTCCTTCTACAAGGCCATACATCTGAGCCCAGGTCAGAGAGACCCCCACCCCCACCCCATAATGGAGTTAAGTTTCTTTTTTTCTTTGCTTTGCTTTCCCTTTTTTTCTTTTTTTAAAATTTTTGTGTTTTAGAATAGCATTACTACCTAATAACATTTTTAGTAATGCTCATTACCTTTTTATTCATAATTTATTTCATCTGAGAACAAGCTTCTTGTCTTTGATTTTCCAAGTCTATGTTGAATTTACGATTCCATATCTATAATTAGAATGAAAATATTACCTGCAAATGAATGAGGTATCTCTTTGGTGCCTACTATAAGAAATGTGAGGCTTTTGTGCTAATTAGAAGAGCATCTTGGTCAGTAATGCTGTGCTCCCATGTGACTGTAGATTGTATTGAGATAATTAATCAAGAGGTAGAATTAGAAACACTCGCTTAACAAAGCTGACTAGAAAATGAGAATGCCTTTTCCCGGGGCAACTATTTAGAATTGTGAGATTTCAAGTGCATGTTAATACATCCCCTTTAGCTTTAAAAAACTTGTGCTGTCTGGGAGCTTTTCAATGAAGAAACCTTTCTGACCTTGAGCATTTAATTTAACTTTGTTCAGGAAGCATTCAGATACTTCCTACTATTTTGGCCCTCTTGCGTGTAAGAGATGACATTGCCCGGTAGACAGTGTTCCCTATCATGGTTATAAGCTCTGAAGGTTCAGTTTTGATCTGTCAGATTTTGCTGCCTCTTGCAGCACAGAGGCCTGGACTCAGTGGGAGTTTGGCGTAAGTAGTACCATGACTGTCCCTTTAGCAGAACTGGGACATGGCCGTGTTGATAAGGGACTCCTGTGGTTCCTCTCGCTGAAGTTTTGGTCTTATGCCTCCATACGCAGATGGACAAACCTCTCTGTATCTTCCATTTTGGTAGAGACCTTAACAGTGTGAATTGTGATGAACTTGGACCACTGCCACCAGGTTGGGAAGTCAGAAGTACAGTTTCTGGGAGAATATATTTTGTAGATCATAATAACCGAACAACCCAGTTTACAGACCCAAGGTTACACCACATCATGAAGTAAGACTTTTACAAAATCTTTGTTGACCTCTTACATTTACAATTTAATGTTTTCTAATATGTTTCTTAATTTATCTGCTGTATTGTTTGTTAGTGGGGAGTAAGCATAAGCAAAATATGATCAATATTTGGTGGCAATGGCATGTTTTAAACTCTCAAGTGAGCTGTGAGCAGTACTGGAGCGTATGTTGTTGCCACGCTCTTCTTGCTTGCAGCCTAAAGACAATTCACCACGACGGCAGGTCAGGCAACTTCTGAACGAGCTTCCGCGCGCAGCGCTCTGATGAAGTGCGTGGCCCTTAGAGTGAGGAGCAGTGAGATGAGGTTGTTCCTTAGTGCCCGCTCGTCACTGTCTGGAAGGGCTCCGCAGTCCATGGGGCTGCCTGCCGGAGCCTTTTCCTTTGCCCGCCGTTCCTGCATAACTTGGAACTGGGAATTATCTGGGATCCCACATTCAGTGTTCCAGGTGTGTGGTGTTCTCAGAACCTAAGAGCCCACCTAGCTCTTCTCATTGACAGCTGACATTAGTGGCAAAACTTGAACAAGACCAATGTCACATTGTCCCTCTACTCGCTCTAGTCGTTTTATTTTACTGGAATTTTGCTTTTAGTGAGTGGGCTGAGAAATCTCTTGGTTATGAAAACGAGCAATAGTTAGATTTCACTTGAGTTCTTTGCTCTTGTGCGTATTGCCCGCCTCCACGATAATCTGCTTTTAAAATTTTTCGCGTTAACTCCATTGAATTCTAACCGCCAAGGCGCATCTAATGGTGTATTGGTCGGTCTCGTAGATACATATGAGATGCGTGATGAATGAGAGCAATTTCTGTTTTTATTTATAGCAGTGATAATGTGTGAGGTAAGCCATGTTTGGAATTGGGCTATCTCCTTTATTGTATCCTAGGCCTATATTTAGGCTAATGGTGGCCACCAGCAGTTTTTACATATCTATGTACATAGTTATGTCGTCAGAGAAAAAAGTTCGAAGTTCTGTGTAATGAACTCTCTTCTTAGCCCCTTTAGTAGGGAGGCAGCGGGGGGAATTGCTTGCAGCTCCCTTGGCCACTGCTTTTGGAGTGACTTGGATGCTTCTGTTCTTCTCAAGTCACCAGTGCCAACTCAAAGAGCCCAGCCAGCCGCTGCCATTGCCCAGTGAGGGCTCTGTGGAAGACGAGGAGCTTCCCGCCCAGAGATATGAAAGAGATTTAGTCCAGAAACTGAAGGTCCTCAGACACGAACTTTCACTTCAGCAACCCCAAGCTGGGCATTGCCGCATCGAAGTTTCCAGAGAAGAAATATTTGAGGTATGGAATTCAGTGCCACTAGCAAGTCAGGCATAGACTTTTCGTCCCTGTGAACAGAGAGGGAGTTCTTCTTTCTGTTTGGTATTTTAGGTGTCGATTTTATTGCTCAGTGAATTGCAAGGGTTTATCAGGACCAAAGGCTGTGTAGAGAGAGGGAACTGTATTTTCTTCTATAGGAAAAGTTTAAAAACTAGATAGCTTCTGAGGTGAAACCTAGAGATTTGTACAGACACTAGTTCTAATTAATATTGTAAATCCCCTTCACTGTGCAGATTATATATTCCTGCAACCTGCATGATTTCCTCAGAACCAGTCATTCCTTCTGCTGTTGCCTTGAACGGAATTTCATGTAATGGCACTGCCTCCTCAGAGAAGCTTAGTGGCCAAGGGGCCACCCTGTTGTCTCTTCTGGAAATAGGAAGATCAGATGGTTCCTGGAAAGGGTCCTATCCTTTATGCAGCAACTCTGTGGGGTCAGGGTCCCTAAACAGGCAGGGCTGTCTTGTCGCAGGGCCCTTTTCTCAAGGAAAATATGATCATAAGGTAAAATCTCAACTGTGTTTGGGCCATATCCTGCCTTCCTTTGTGGAATTATTGGCACAAGTGATCGAATGAGCCTGGGTAAGCACTGAACACAGATTCTCACCGGGCTCTAGCAGCTGAGGGAGGCGTGGAGGGTGAGTCCCATGGCTGTAGCAGCCCAGCGGCCTTCTCCACAGCGAAGGGCACTGAGGAAGCACCCAGGGCCATGCTTGATGCTCGTGCACAGCCAGTATTGGATGAGTGTCTGCATCAGCTAAAGTGCCCAGTTTTGCCCATTAGACAGTCTTGAATGGTTGGCAGGGATAGAAAAGAGCTGAATTATTGACATTTTGCTGCCAGATCATTTCCACTCAACATCCTCTTTCCCTCTTGGGATGGTAGGGTTTGAATTACATTAAATTGAAAGCATGAAAAAATTCTTAAGTGCCTTATCACTGAAATATCTACAGACATTTAGTTAGTTCCACTGAACATGGTGAATCTGAGGGACTGCTGGGCTGGCCACATGTTTTCTGTGTTTCTGGTAAGCTATTGTATGTCTTACTTAAACTCTTGTTTGCTTTTTGAGTCAGTGGGAATCATGTGATTTTTCACTTCAGATATAAAAACAGACTCAGAATTCTTTTAATATTCAGACTCTCTAGTAACATCTTTTTGGTTAAAATATATAAATTGTTCACAGTATGGACACATTAAAATTAATCTGTGTGGACAAAATCAACTCTAGTGAGGACGTTTGTTCTTAAGTCATTAGTGATTGGGCTGAAAATATAATATCTTTATTTCCTTTAGGTACTGTATTACCTGGCATGTATTTGCTTTGCTGTTGTTTCTGAGGGAGAGACAGTGGGAGAAAAGATTATGGAAGCAGCAATGTACTAGATGCCAAATAAACATTCTGAATAGGAATCAGATAGAGCTCGGATTTGAATGAATTATTTATTCGGGTTCCATTATCAATAACCTTTAATTTTTTTATAACTTTAAGAATAAGAAAAGTTCTTCTTAGGGCCGGCCCCGTGGCTTAGTGGTTAAGTGCACACGCTCCGCTGCTGGCGGCCCCTGGTTCGGATCCCGGGCGCGCACTGACGCACCGTTTCTCCGGCCATGCTGAGGCTGCGTCCCACATACAGCAACTGGAAGGATGTGCAACTATGATGTACAACTATCTACTGGGGCTTTGGGGGAAAAAAATAAATAAAATTTAAAAAATAAATAAATAAATAAATAAACTGAGCATTTGTTTAAAAAAAAAAAAAAGAAAAGTTCTTCTCTCTGAATCTGTACTTTTGATATGTAGGAGTCTTATCGCCAGATAATGAAGATGCGACCAAAAGACTTGAAAAAACGACTGATGGTGAAATTCCGTGGAGAGGAAGGTTTGGATTACGGTGGAGTGGCGAGGTGAGATGCTGATTTATTCACCCTTTCTGCCACATGGATTCCAGCAGAGCTGTAATAAAGTATTTTCAGAGAGAAGTTGTTTGCCCCTTTCTGGTGTCTGTCTTGGAGCGGTCAGGACCTCAGCAAGCTTTCTTAGAATAAGGATTCCTAAGAGCATGTGCACACTAGCATCTTGCCATCACCTTTCAGAATGTACGTGATTTTCACCATTCATTTACTTCTTGTAAAGCGAGAATTCAACTTTTAGACTTAGCCCCTTCTTCATCTGGCATCTCTGAACCTGAAACACGAAGGACCTGCTCCTGGAGTTAATCTGGGAGGCAGTCTGCTTTTGTCATTAGAGGACTTTCAGTGGTGTGAGGAAGGCATGTAAATTGCATTTGTATCAAAGGAATTGTGTAAAATGAAATTTTGGTCAAAATAATTCATGCAAATGATTTTAAAAATAGAATATAGTAATGAAAAGCTACCATTTCCTGTTTTACCTCTTTTCACCTTCAAAACAACTGCTTTTTTGCTCTTTGAACTGTTTCTTTAATAGGTGCCTGTATATCGCTAAATTGATTGAATTCAGATATTATCTATTGATTTCATGATTTATGGTCATAGACACAGATAGACTGGATAATGGTTGTGAGAATCTAATTTAATACTCTCACATCCCAGTTTAGTCATATCAATATTTTTAGATCGTCTATCATTCATTGTCTTTGGAACTTTACATAATGTGTTTTCACCATTAGTTTTTGATTCATCAAATGGAGACATTCTCAACCTCTCTTTTTCATAAGAAAAGGATATTAATACTCCTAAGTTTCCCTTCAGCATTCTTTCTACCTTTACCTCTTACATTCTGTCATCTGTAATGTTACTTTTATATTGTCAAGATTGAAGATTTGTGTTCTGTTCTGTAACCAAAATTAAGTAAGTTTCCTGTGCTTGTCTACCTATTATTTGTAAGAGCTAAAAATCAATACGTTGTTTATATTATTATGACAATGTAAATGTTGTTTGCTGAGGGGTTAAGTGGTATTCTATAATTTATTTTATCCTTTTGAACAAATTTTAATTTTTCCAACAATTTCTTCTTTTTCTTTTTTTTTTTTAAAACCATACTTTGCCTTTATTACCCCATCAAACTTCATCTTTTGCCATCCTCCACCTACCCTTTTTCCTCCATGTATCTCCCTCGTGAAGACTGTCCATCTGACTGATGATTCTCTAGGCCTTCTGCACAGTTCTCATCATGGGACTTCACTGCTTTCCTGGGTTAGAGCCATTGTCTTGTGGATCCCATAGCTTTCTCTTTCTTGGCTTACTCCTTTGTGTTACTGGAGTATATCCTCAACTAGCTTTCTTAGAAAGGGTGTGTGGGAGGTGAATTTTCCAAGATCTTGCATCTGAAAGTGTCTCTTAATTTACACTTTGACTGATAGTTTGGCTTTTTATAGACCTCTAGGAAAAAATAATTTTCATTTGACAGAACTTTGAAGGCATTGCTGTACTGTCTTCCAGCACCCAGTGTCACTGAACAGTGGTCTGATGACAGTCTGATTTTAGTCACTTCTTCACCAGAAGTTATTTGACCCCATCCGGGACCACCCATCATCCATAGATTCCACCACCTTTTTTGTTTTTCACCCTCATCCTGTCCTCCTCGCTTCCTCCTTACCCATAATCCACCGTCACAACCACCTTGTGCCTCCGCTCGACTCCCCTGCCTCTCTTTCCATTTGCTGTACTTGTCTGGCAGAACCCCAGCTCTGAAGAATCCACCCACAGGCTGCTGTGGGCCTCACCTGAGCAGCTGCATGTGGCTAGAGGAAAACATACTTCCGTGCCACGGGCCGTTCTCTGTATTGATGGCCACAGACCACGGGGAGGTTGTGGCACCTTCTGCAGTTCTGCTACGTCCTCGTCACCCCCCATTCTCTTTCTCAGGTCTCTAGCCTCACTTCCCCCTGTCCTCACTCTTATTTATTTATTTTTTTTGTGAGGAAGATCAGCCCTGAGCTAACATCCATGCTAATCCTCCTCTTTTTGCTGAGGAAGACCCGCTCTGAGCTAACATCTGTTGCCAATCCTCCTCCTTTTTTTCCCCAAAGCCCCAGTAGATAGTTGTATGTCATAGTTGCACATCCTTCTAGTTGCTGTATGTGGGACGCGGCCTCAGCATGGCTGGAGAAGCGGTGCCTCGGTGCGCGCCCGGGATCCAAACCCCGGCCGCCAGTAGCGGAGCGCGCGCACTTAACTGCTAAGCCATGGGGCTGGCCCCCACCCCCCGTCCTCACTGTTAGCTGCTGGCTTTGCTTCCTATTTAACTGAGGAAACAGAAGCAATCTGAAGAGTATTTTGTCACCACATATCCCGTCTGCCAGTATCTGTGCCCACGTGTCGGCCTTCCCTGCTGGGGCCCTGGGTGGCCCACGCACGTTTCTGTATAGGAGCAGCACCCCCTTGCACAATGCATCCCAGGCCCTTCTGCTTCTGCTGTTATTTCACATCTGTCTCATTTCAGCAAAATGTCCCGTTCTCTTGGGTCAACCTCGTCCACATACAAATGTACTATGATAACTCCTTTAAAAGAAACAAACATGCCGTGCCCCGCAAAAACCTGCCCTGGACACTATATCCTCTTCCTTTCTAAGCTAAAAGGAGGCAATAAAGACAAAGAAAGCAAAGTGAAAAGAAAAACAATTAGAAATTCCAGGAAAAACAAAAATTTGTTCAAGAATGCTTAATTCTCAGTTGTCTCCCTGATTCTCTGTTCTCTTTATAGCAAAATCCCTCCAAGGAGTTGCGTGCATCCCTATTCCTGCTTCCACATCCCTCACATTCTCTTGACCCCGTTCCAAGCTGATATTTCTGCCCTTTGAAGCCCTTTGTGTCCAGGTCTCCGATGGCCTACATCTCACCAAGCCCAGTGATGCCCCCTCAGTCTCTCTCTCCCCTGGTCTGTCAGCAGTATGTGTATGTGATGGAGTTGGTCACTCCCTACTTCTCGAAGCACTTTGTCCACTTGGTTTCTAGGACTCCACACACTCCTGGTTTTCCCTCTGGCTCACTACATGTCCCCTTTGCTGGTGCTTCCCTCTCTTCCTTACCGCTGAACATCGGCTGCCTCCGCACTCAGTCCTGGAGCCTCCTTAGTGCATGGCCTCCGAGTCCCACGGCTTTAAATACTGTCTACGTAGTGACGACTCCCAAACGTGTGCCTCCGGCTCCCTCTCTCCCCTCAGCTCTACACTTGTTTACCCAGCCGCCTCTCATCTTTCCTTGGATATTTCTAAAGCTTATTACACTTAACAGTCCAAAATTTCTGAGTTCCCCTCTCATACCAGCTCCTCCCTAATCTTTCCCAGCTCACTAAACCACCCCACTTGGCTCAGGTTGTGCAGTAGTCCTTACCTCCCCATTTCGCTCGCCTCCCAGAGCCAATCCACTGTGGTCCTCGCAGCTCTACCCTCAGAAGAGAGTCATACCTCAGCCACCTCCCCTCCCCTTCTGCCCCCCTCCTGGCTCAGGCCCCCAGCCCATCTCCTCTCTCCTCTCGCTCCTGACTGCTGTGGCAGTCAATGCCCTTGTCTGCCTGCTTTCTCACTTTTCTGACAGGCTGTTTCCCAGGGACAGCCACTATGATCTTTCTAAAACCTCAGCCGTGTCATTCCCTGTTCCTGAGACCCCGAAGGCTTTCCATCTACCTGGTGGGCCCTCCAGGTTCCTACCCCGACCCTGTCCGGCCCACAGCTGCTTTGCCAGCCACCTTCAATGTTCCCTCTGCCTAGAACTTGTCCCCAAGATCCTCACGTAGCTTGTTCCATCCGTTCGCTCAGGTCTGCACTCACACATCACCCTCAGGAGGCCCGCCCTGACCGCGCTCTAAATGAGCCCTTATCGCAACCAGGCCTGTTGGGCTGTCTGAGTTGCTCCCCTGTGTCTGCATCTCCACAGACACAGACTGCGCTGGCAGGAACTTTGACTTGTGCACGGCTGAATCCCCTGTTCCTAGAAGAGCAGCTAACACATAGCAAGCGCTTGTCTCGATAAATATCTGCTGAGTGAACAAATTTTACTTTCTGATAATTTCCTCTCCTCCATTTCCTTGCTTTAGTCTCTTGAAATGCCTGTTACTCAGATGTTGGATTCCCTGGATCGATCCTTATGTCTCTCATCTTTTCTGTGTCCCATCTTTGCTTTTCCCCCCTACTTCTGGGAGATTTCCTCAGCTTGTCTTCCAGTGCTTCAACATTTTTTATTTCGTCTTTTAAGGCACCACAACATACTCATTCACTGAATTCCATTGTAACAAAATGTAAAATGAAAGAATGAAAATAAATAATATATCTATCATGAGATGGAATCTTCTTAAGGGAGAACACCCCTCTAATTTGCATGCCCTTGTGAGAATTGTATTCATTCATTAACCATTCAGTATTGAACCTCTACCATCTACGAGGTACCAGGGATACAGCCGTGAGCAAAGTAACATGTTCTGTGCCCCCTTCACCCCTCCAGACTCCCCACGCAGAGGAGTTCTCAATCTAATGAGGTACAGACATCAATCAAAGAATTACACAAGTAAATGTAAACCACAGCTCTGGTTGTGCTCCAAAGGAAGGCCCCTGTGTCCTAGTGGCCCTGGGGAGTCAGGGGAGGAGAGCCTCACACCTTCACAGTTAGAAAACATAAGCAAATTCTCAGTGCTACAGCGGTTATCCCAAGGAAAATTATGTTCTGATGGGCATTATAGGGGGTCTCATTCTGTTTCTGGACAGAGTTAGGATTTTTTTCAGCAGCCAAAAGAAAAGAATTAGAAGGAAAAAAGTCACAATATGCCCTTTGGCCCTGGCACAGAATCCTTCCTCTAACTTCTCACCGTCACTGTCTCCTCCTTTATCTCACCCTCCCGTCCATCGGCTGTTCCTGAATCCCTCTGGGGTGAAGGCTGTGGAAAGGGCTGCATTCTCCTAAAAGTGAGCTCCCATTGGTACTGCCCCTCCATGGGAAATCATTTTCCTTTCAAGATTGTCCCAAGTTTCTTCTTGGATCTTCTTGATCTTGATTCCAGAAACCATCCTGCTTTTGGCAAATATAACTTCTACTTGCCCTTGATAACACTAATTCCATTTCCTGGCCAGAGGTTTAGGCTTTCTGTCCTCCTTCTCAGATAGAATCTTCCTACTTAGTCATTCATATTTGTCCTAACAGTTCAAATCAAACGACTTTCGTTTTTCTCTTCTATGCTGTTTCCTTTATATCTCAAGAGCTCTACTGAGAGCCAGGAATCCTCACCAATTGCTCATTTCACTCTGTACTATTTTGTCCTAGAGCATAATGAATCAGTCCTTGTGTTAAGATCTAAAACTAGAAATTTTAGCACATGTAAATGCTTTTTTGTTGTTCTTGTTCCTAGAGAGTGGCTTTATTTATTGTGCCATGAAATGTTGAATCCATATTATGGACTCTTCCAATATTCTACGGACAATATTTACATGTTGCAAATCAACCCAGATTCTTCAATCAACCCTGTAAGTATTAATGAATAAAGAAGTAGGGAATTTAGTTGGAGAATTTTTTAAATGGATTTTCAGCTTCAGTCTCAATTCTTGGTCTATTCATTATAGACTTACTCAAAGACTATGGTAAATAAAACTCTGAAAGGTAGAGTAAGAACTGGATTAAGATGGATGATTTCAGTCCTGTAGTTTTAGTGATTGGGTATCTTGTTTTCAGAGAGAACAAGAGTGAAATTGAGCTGCTCATATACTCAAAGCATTTTATTGCCATTTGAGGGCCCTCTGGTATGATGACCATACTTGTTGATGGTGTCATTCTGAGAAGTGGGTTACAAAGTGACGGAACCTTTACCAACATCGAAACAACGTTTTGACTAATTATCTGATTATAATTCCAACCTGAAAGTAGACGTGTGATGTTCCCTGGTTACAAACCGGAGCAGCTCTGGGTTTAGAGTGGTTCTTTGACTTGGATTGTTCATACTTATTTTCTTCTGTGTTCTCTTTTTTCCTTCTTTGGATTTCTTCTCCTTCTTTCTTGTGGGACAGGGGGAGGAATGAAGAGGAGGAAGGGGAGTTGCCCTTTGTGTGTGCAGTGGGAAGGCGGAGCAGGCGGCTCCCTGGCTGGAGACCTGTGCAGAGCACAAGGCCCTGCACTCAGAATGGCCTACACTTGCTTTGATTCTGTCTTGTCACTATGTGGAAATTCTTAATTTTTGAATATGGGTTCTGCATTTTCATTTTGCATTGGGTCTCATAAATTATGTAGCAATTCTGAGAAGTGTTCGAACTAAGAACATATAAAATGTTCAGGTGATCTATCCAAAAGACGCGCTCTTAGTTTCAACCACCTCAGCAGCCTTCTTTCACTGGGTCCTGAGCACACCCTGTGAGTAACTGATTCAGTGTTTGCTTGCCCATGGGATTGTTCCCCAAGAAGCTTGGAGAAAGCGCAAGATAGCCATCTTGGCTGGTCATTTTTCTAATGAATTCATGTTCTTTGGTGCCCCCTACAGGACCATTTGTCTTACTTCCATTTTGTGGGTCGGATCATGGGTCTGGCTGTGTTCCACGGACACTACATAAATGGGGGGTTCACCGTTCCCTTCTATAAGCAGCTACTGGGGAAACCCATCCAGCTCTCTGATTTAGAATCGGTGGACCCAGAACTACATAAGAGCTTAGTGTGGATTCTGTAAGTATTGACTCACTGTTCAGTTAATTGAAAATTCATACATAGTCACTTGTCTTAGTGTATGCCAGATACATGTGTTTTGTGTGTGTGCACGCACATGTGTATATATGTAGGGGATGGGGGTGAAATTAGAGAAGAGAAATAAACTATTGTTTTAAACTAGAAACATAAAAGTAGATTTAACAAAAATACTTAATTGACTTATTTTCCTCATAGTGTTTGGCCAGTTTCCCTTCATGGACAGTTCTTTTGCCCCTTCCTTAAGTTATTAAGCTGTGATGGTGAATGGTAATCCCCAGGCCATTGGTGGTTGGTTGGTCTTTGACACTTGAGGGTGCCTCCAGTCTGTCTCTAGAGGGGCCAAGAAAGTATCAAAAAAAGTTAGTATCCAGTCACCTTGGTTTTAGGATTATCCTCAAACTCTCTTAAAAGCAACAGGCATGGTAACATGGTAAACTGTGGGTGTCGTGGGTCCTTGTGAATGAGCTAATTTCACGGGAATGACAGGCAGATCCAGGCTCTGGCAGAGAGAGGACAAGCTGATGGATGAACTGGACGCGAGTCAGGCCTCTCGATTATATCCTGCGTCTGGTCTGCCTCATTTCCCACGTCCCAACTTGAAATGGTGGCTGGCAGGGGTTATGGCCTTCATCCTATAGAAAATCTTCCACTCTGTCTGTGTTTCAAGAAATATGGCAGATTAAGGAGCCAGTTTTAACTTTCAAGTGCTGCTTTGTTTGAACGGATGCATTTGGAAAGGCTACCTTAAAAGGGGGAGCAATATTTTCTTGGTGTGGCTGTGTGCAGGCTGATTCCCTTCGACTCAGTTCCCCTTCACGATTCCCTCCTTTCTGCTCATAGACTCGATTTGCAGAGCAATCAGGTTGCTGTGTCTCGTAAAATCACAGAATGGTAGAGCTACCGTCACCCTCCTTCTGTGACTGAGAAAGCCGAGTCGAGGACACGTGTGGAGCTCTGGTCTCCTGGTTCTTCCAGTCCCAGCGCCCTCCTGCCCTCACACGAGCTCTCTGTCCGTCTCAGGCTCTCTCTTCTCCCTCTTGCAGCCCTGGGTCTGGCAGTCCGTAAATCCTGTCTCTCTTTCTGCTGGATTGTTCCATTTAATGTTTCGTTCATTGCCTTTGTGGGAGAAAAGGTCTAACTGACATCCATCTTCTGTCCTAACTTCCACAGAGAGAACGATATCACCCCTGTGCTGGACCACACTTTCTGTGTGGAACACAATGCTTTCGGGAGGATTCTTCAGCATGAACTGAAACCCAACGGCAGAAATGTTCCTGTCACAGAGGAGAACAAGAAAGAATATGTCCGGTAACGTTCTGGGGAACCTTGGTGGTCGCCGATGGGGACACCCAGGTGCCTGGGAGCGTCCTGGGCAAGGCTAGGTTCATGTTTAGATTGTTGAGGCTCCTTCGCTGTGTGAGGCTTACCTGTCCCTGCCAGCACTTGTGACCAGAATCACATTAACAGAAGAGACTTCCAGAAACAGTCAGGTTCAACGGTGGGAGCTCTGCCTGGAGGAGGCCTGACATGGCCAGGGCTGACCTGTTGAAGGGAGAATAATGACCCCAGAGCCCAACTGAGGAAGGACTTTCAAGTGACTGCCCAATTCTGGTTGTGAAGGTGGCGAGCACAGGAGAGAGGAGGAGGCCTAGAAGTTTCCTTAAGATCAGTCTCAAGGGCCGGCCCCGTGGCTTAGCAGTTAAGTGTGCGCGTTCCGCTACTGGCGGCCCGGGTTCGGAGTCCGGGAGCACACCGACGCACTGCTTCTCCGGCCATGCTGAGGCCGCGTCCCACATACAGCAGCTAGAAGGATGTGCAGCTGTGACATACAACTAGCTATCTATACAACTATCTGGGCTTTGGGGGGAAAAAAATAAATAAATAAAATTAAAAAAAAAAAAAAGATCAGTCTCAAGGAAGTCTATTCCATTGTAATCTGTTTTCCACCTCATAAGACCAGTAAATGACTGGTCACTTACATTGGAAATTTAGAAACGTGGACATGTTTGCATGCTCAAGCCATCAGACTGCTGTGTAGTTGTCACATTGTCCTGTATTTATTTTCAAATATACTTTTAAATTATGGCAGTTGTTGGAACAGGTCACGTTAAATCCTACTGCTACTTTTAGTAAAGAATCAGAATGGATAAGGGGATGTACTGATTTATTTTTAACTTGGTACTTGGGCTAGGTACTACCAACTGGGGGGTTTTTCTCCAGGGAGGCCTGGCGGGCAGGGTGTTAGGTTCAGCAGATGTCAGACCTACTAATGGAGAAAAACTTTTTTCATGAACCATTTGGTATTGCTTCCAATTTGTGAATTTTTCTTTCAGGTTATATGTAAATTGGAGGTTTATGAGAGGAATTGAAGCCCAGTTCTTAGCTCTTCAGAAAGGCTTTAATGAACTCATTCCTCAACACTTACTGAAGCCTTTTGACCAGAAGGAACTGGAGGTACGTGGTCACTGTGCTAGGCCACATCCACATTGGAGGGTTCACACGTGATGGTTGTTTTCTTGATTCACAACCTGGCTACAGTGAGGCAAGCCCGGGAGTTTGTCCGGGCTCCCAGAGGAACAGAGTCAGGGCTACAGCGAGAAGGAGCCAGGATGTTTGCACCTGTTTGTGATGGGCCGGGTGTCCACTTGGCAGCAGTGAATCTGGATAATTCTCAGGAAATTGTTCAAGGTGTTTGTGGCTTATCCTATTTTTCAGGATCTCTAGCAGTGGAGATTTCTAGCCCCCTCCTGTGTATTCACCTCAGATTGAGGAAATTATCTCATATATAACCAAATTCTCCCATAATGTCAACTTTTTGTTTTTATTCTGGCTATTATTAGACTCAGAACAAAGTGTTATTGTCTTCTCTAATCATGCTTCATGTCCTTGAACATAGCCATTCATTCATCTCTTATCTGTCTCTATTTGGTGCCAAATAGCTCAAGCCATTAAAATTGTTCTCAGTCTCTCTGCCACCAGTGAGCCACCGAGAGCTTGTGAGCCATGCAGAGCCTCCCTTGGGTACAGCAGTGGCTCTGGAGGGAACTTTTGAAGCCAATTGCAGAAACACACACGTGACTCGTGCTGCATTCCCTTCTCTTCAGACTTTAAACTCCATGTACCATTGTCCCCAAGAGATCACGGGGCTGTGGCCCCCTTTTACAGTCAGCTCGGGTTTTCAGTTCCTTCCTCCTCCTCCTCCCAGTGCAGTGCAAAAGCACAGACCCAGACTTGGTGTAAGACAGTGTCCTATCATGGCTGTGCACCGTGGTCCCAGGGCTGGGACCAGCCTGAGGGGTCAGAAAGGCAGAGCGTAGCGTTTCAGGCGTCTTGTTGATTTATCTTCTTGTCTAAATGTGTGTCTAGTTTATTTGGACATAGCTGCTTCTTTGCTTTGGGAACCCAGTTTTTAACTCCTGTCATATAGTGGGAACCTGGGAGGCTTGTCGTGACATTGGTTTATACATTTTTAGAAGTAACTTGCCTGTAAACGCCTTCCCAGTTGATCATAGGCGGCCTGGATAAAATAGACTTGAACGACTGGAAGTCCAACACTCGGCTGAAGCACTGCGTGGCCGACAGCAACATCGTCAGGTGGTTCTGGCAGGCAGTGGAGACCTTCGATGAGGAAAGGAGGGCCAGGCTCCTACAGTTCGTGACTGGGTCGACGCGAGTCCCTCTCCAAGGTTTCAAGGCTTTGCAAGGTGACTGACATGGAGGTGGGGCTGTTGGCACTGCACGTCTGCACAGGGCATGTTCTCTACTGGGCCATGGCAGGAAGGACTGGAATGTTGGGGGCTGTTCTCCCGAGACGTCTGCTGGAAGACGACGTGCACGTGTTCTTTCGTAACAAATGCTCAGCCCTGCGGGGGCGCTCACCTGGCAGAGGGCTACACTTGCTCCCTGTGGCCGTGAGACCCTCTTCCCTCCATAAAAGATGATGCTCTTATCTCTGCCAGCTCCCAGTGCTCAAGGCTCTGCTATCCTTTGCCCAAGTTGAAAGAAAAAATCTATAAATACTTGGATGAGAATTCAGCAAAATAAAGCCCACTTCCTCTCAAGCCCACCTTTCCCAGTATCTCTGAGGCCACGGGAATCAGCAGGCGAGACATCCTCGAGTTAGCCCAAGTCTTTGCAGCAGCAGTGGTGGGTGCTTGCCCGCCTGGTGCCCCCTCGGGGCTGAGTTTGGAAAGACCTGAGCAAGGAAGAGCCCAGTGGAGCCGATGCCTCCCCTTTCCCTACAGAATTGGTTGACAGAGGAAGGGTACAAAGAGCAACAAGGTTTTAGGGAAAGAAATCAGAGTTTTTAAAGTACACTATGGATTCATTTCCGAATCTTTGATAGCAGCTCTTTAACTGTGGCCCTGGGATACAGGAGAGAGAGAGGCCTGCCCTAAGTATATCAAGAGGCCAAGTCCACTGCTACCATGTGGGTCATTAGCTCCAGGGGTCCTCCCTGGCCCTCAGTTTCCTCATCTATACAAGTGGACTGTCTGATAGGCTCCACTATCCAGTTAAGTACCCATCCTTTCTCTCATCCTTTCCAGCTCTAACTGGGTCCCTGGTTCACCCAGGTCTGGAGCTGGGGGTTGGAAAAGGGCGAGGTGGATGTCTATAGACACTGAGGGTGTGTGCCTCACGGCGGGGATTAGAGGGGCTCATGGTCAGCCTCGGCCAACTGGGAAAGTCCTCGCAGGCTGCTTCTCCCTAGCCCTGTGATTTGTAAAATTTCAGATTTTTGTCACTTGATAACCTTGATAGCTAGAAGGAGTCAAGTGAAGAATATTAATATATTAAAATTTAATAAATTGAACTTTGCAGTAGTGTAACGGATATATTTCACATCTAGAACATTCCCTGTAGACATTCCCTTATTTTAAGGACCTCTTTCAGTGAGAGAAGTTATTTCTGTTTCCTAGGGCTTTGGTCCCAGGCCTTCATGTCTTTTCGCGTTGTGCCTGTGCCTGGGAGGTTTCATGACTCCATACTCTGCTTTTCTTATAATGCTGCTGTCCTCTGTCAACAGTGGGCCCACTTGCTAAACATTTCTGTTCAAAAAAAAAATCGCTGGTGATTTAGGGATATTCTCCTCACACACCCTCACTGGAGCCTGGAGCAGACTCAGGGTTGGGGGCATCAGGAGGGTTCTCACCTCTTTGCTCCGCCCTTGTGATTTTCTGAAATGTCTGATGTCAGTCACTTGATGGCCACCGTAGGCATGTCAGCTGGGCAGAGGCTCACGCTGCCCCGTGAGCTCCCCGACCCTGTGGCAGGACAGCCCACTGGGACTCGGGGCTGAGGGTGTGGTCACAGGGGGGCCCGGGCTCTGCGTCTGAAGTGCATTAACTAGAATGTTGTCTTGTAAGGTTCTACAGGCGCCGCAGGGCCCCGGCTCTTCACCATCCACCTCATCGACGCCAACACCGACAACCTCCCGAAGGCCCACACCTGGTAAGCACGCCGGTCCCTGGGGGCTGTCTCCGCGTGTGCGGTCACCACAGGACTTTCCTAAGCTCGTGTCCTATCTGTAGCACCCCGAGTTTCATTGATGCCGAGTCACGGATAAGGACCCACTGTAGCAGCAGTGTCAAATGGGATAAGCGCTTGGAGTGTGTCACATGTGAGGGTTGTCAGAAGTCTCGCTTGTGAAACCAGTTTTGCCCCTTTATCGTTAATGTTAGCTCCCACTCCAGCGGGCTCCAGCGTTCACTTTGCTGGGTCTTGTTGCGTGTGTGTGCGCGCACGCATGTGCGCACATGTCCGTCAGTGGGGAAAACTGTAGTTTTTCACTTAGACTTAGTAGTCTTCATGGGGCTCCCTTTTCCTTCTGGGAACTTGCTTGTGACAGATGCACCTTGTGTATTGAAAAATCTTTCCTCCCTAAGTTTTAACTTAAATATTATCCATCGTGGATTATTTCCTTTGTGGTTTAAAAGTCACGGAACTTACATACCCTTTGTCTCAGAACCACTTATTGAAAGGAACAGCCGCCTTTAGTTCAGGAGAACCAGTTCCAAATGTCGCGATGCATCGTGATGTAACGGAAGGTTCCTGATTGGAACCCAAGGCTGTGGGTTCAGATGCTGGCCATGACACCCTCTAATATGTGACTTTGGGCAAGTTCCTCGATATGCTAACTGGGTTTTCCACACTTGTGAAAGAGGCTACTAAAGCTGTTCCCAAGACCATGGCGAGCGGACAGAGCACTGTCCCCAGCATGGCTGGTCCAGGAGTGGCGCCATGTTGATGCTTGGGACCATGTTGATGCTCGGCGGCTGCCGTCCTCCTCATGATGCCTTGTCCTTTCATAGTTTAATGCTTGGAGTAAAACGGAGATGAAAAATATCCTCTGAGGCTAAAGCTCCCAAAAAAGACTGCCATGCCATTTACCTCAACTCTTTCTTGGCAAAAACCATCCTTAATTGCTTAACCTCTATAATTCAACATGCCACTCTGGATCCTCTGGGTCACAGTTTTGTATTTTTTGATTTGCTGAGATAATAGCTTCTTAAAAGGTGTCTTTTTCTTTACACAAACATTGGAAATGAATTTCCCCATGGAAATACTGAGTCATAAATTTAATGTTTATTTCATCTATCAGGGATTTGACATTTTATTAGTTTTGAGATACAATTTGTTTTTGCAGGGAATTTTCCAGACTGCCCTATTTTGGTCTCAGATCCAGTCACAGAGGATTAGATAGATGTGCGGTAAATTGTTAGTGGTGATTTGACTGCCAGCCAGTCTGGATTATGGTGGTCTGCAAAGAGGGTATTCCTGGTACAGAGAAATAATTTCTCCCAAAGACAAAAAACAAACAAAACAAGTTGAGAGGTTTGTCTCAATATAACCAGTAAATAGTAATTTGGTTTTATTTTGGTTTTAAAGATCTTAAGATTTATTTTGCTGTGTTGATTGAAAAATCTTTGCATTAGAAGCAGAAAAGTCCCAGGGGGAAGAGGAAAACTCTCCTCCACCTTCCCCTGCCCCCAGAACTAGGCACTGAGGTGTTTTCCCTTCTCTCGGCTCCATCCCCCCTACACACGCTCGCGTGCTCCCACTCGGGAGCACACACGCACACACACTAGCTTGTGGCTGCTCCCACCTGTGCTTGTCCTTGAAGCGGGTCCTAGGGCCAGACGGCCCCCAGCAGCGACTCTCCCTCTTTTGTCCTGTCCCAGCTTTAACCGGATCGACATTCCACCCTATGAGTCCTATGAGAAGCTCTACGAGAAGCTGCTGACCGCAGTGGAGGAGACCTGTGGGTTTGCTGTGGAGTGAGGAGCAGCCAAAGGCTACAGATTCTAGCTCACCACCACCAGACCAAAAGCAGAGAGCTTTCTGTGCGCCTCCTGCGAAGCTGGCTGAGGCACTGAGTTCTAGATGACCTGAGGGAAAGGGTTGTCTCCCCTCCTTTTCGTTGGGGGAGCGAGGGGGGCGGGGGGACTTTGGTTGGTGGCTCCCACCCATATTTTCCTCCTTTTCCATTACCCATCCAATAAAATGCAGCCAGGTTTAGCATTTGGCTTCGGTCACGCAGGGTATTCTGCTGCGGTTGTACCACGTGGCGATAGGCCCCCTGCCCTGTGTCTTTATGGAGCATCGAGCCGCGGTTATGGAGCTGGGCCTGCTAACTGAGGGTTCATAACTGGTAGCTCTGCTAGCTAGTGTGTCTCAAGAAGTCCTGAGGCCCCTCTGCAAGTTCAGTGGCTCGGTTCCAGATTTCATCCCAGCAGCCTGCTCTGGGCGGCAGATCGATTTCTAACTGAGAAATAACTGTATAATACACGCTTATTGGAATTCTGCCACAGCAGGAAGCTTGAGTCAAAAATGTGCTTCCCTTTTGGAGAGGTAAAGGAATGGGGCAGCTTTCGCTGGAGACCTGTTTCTTTTCAGGGTATCCTGGCTGAAAAATTCGTTTCACGTAGAGAAAAATGATCTTTCCTTTTAAGAGACCCTTTTGCCGCATTATCTATCCAGTTTGAAATATGTTTTTCAGTGAAAACACCACATAATGGAACTTATAAAAGAACAGACCAAAACCAGCCTCAGATCCACGCAGCCAGTCGCAAGCTGTGGCTCCTGCACCATGTGTATGTAGAAGAGCATCGACTGGGTCCCTTGAATACTAACAAACGGTGATGCGGAAATTGCTAAGAGCTGAACTAACAAAACAAAATTCTGTTATTGTAGCTGCTGGCTTTGTGCAGACTAGGTTAAAAGGAAGACGGGGTATGGATAACCTCGATGACCTAAATCCACCCCAAGTTGTTTTACACGAATAGGGCGTGGGTGTAGACCTGGCAGCAGAGGGGCCCGTTCCACTCTGACCCATTCGGCCCATTTCCCCAACGTCAGACGGTGACACTAACAATTGTACTCGATTCACTTGCCCAGATGTCTTCTTCGTATGATGAGCAAGGCCACAGCAAGCCTAACCCTGAGTTTCTAGCACTATTTTCCAATTTGCACGAAAGTTCAAACAGTATTTCAACAAAGTGGCTTGATTGGAGATAGCTCAACTTCAGTGAAAAACTGCAGCAGCAGCAGCAGCTTCTCTGGGTGGTTTTTGGTGGTGGTTTTTGTTTTGGGGACAGGTGCAGGGTACTTCATTAGCACGACATTTCACTGTTGAAATTTCGTTGTGGAAGTTTCCGAGTTAAGCGTTGGGATCCAGCTGTGGGTCTGAGGTGGGTTTGGAAGAAGTTTTCGGCCGACCGTTTCACCTGTTCTTTTTGTCCCTAATACTGGGGTGTCACTTCAGACTGGGGTGTTTGGAGGCGTACTTACCCTTCTGCATCTTGCTGGGGTTCTTTCGCTTGCCTGGAAGCAGTCTGCAGTTTGGCGTGGGGAGCACGCAGACCTCTTAGGCCATGAACCCGGTCCTGAACAAGAGGCCGCCCAGTTTGGGGGCCGGGATGGCGGCTGTGGGTTCTCGGAGCTGTGAGAGAGCCACACTTCGGGGCCCTTACCGAGGTTCTCGGACAGAAGGGATGTCGAGTGCTATTGGCTGCGGAGGAAAATTCAATCCATTCAAAAAGTCCAGGCCAAATTGTGGGCTTAGTCTTCACAAGTTCTGCCTTGCCCCAGTTGGGCTTATCCTGTGTCTCGTTTACCATTATACTTTCTGAGGGCGTTCTAGAAGCTGGCTCCCCCATGACTCCCTGCAGTCTTCCCCCGTAGTCTTCCTCTGGAAGAGTGAGGAAATGAAAAATGAAAAGACCCCGTCACCCCCTAGATAGCTCTCCTCCCTGCCGTGAACTTAAACCACAGAGGAGGAGCAGATGTCCGTCAGGGAACTGGGAGGACTCACCACTGAGGTAGGAAGACCCGCCTGCTTTTCCTGTGCTGTTGGCCAAATCGGCAGTAATTAGGAAGGAAACTAGGGGCTCGCGGGAATGTGGCACTCGACTCCTCTAAGACTACCTTCCTGCCGTCAGGAGGCGGGGCAGACTCTGCACCTGCCAGCCCCATGCCCCTCTCGTGTCAGGGGTCACCTCAGCAAGATCCAGAGGGTCGTGTCCTGGCTCCCCCGTGGGTGCTCGGGACACATGGGTCACCCGTCCGCAGGGCCTGGGGCTCTGCTCTTCTACTTACACTTGCACGTGGGCGCCCTCGTCCGCTGTGCGAGTGTTATCAAGGAGCCTGAAAGAGCAGAACTTTCCAGAGCTCCCGTTTACTCTTGCCAACGGGCCTATCTGTCAGTGGCACTGCACTTCTAGAACCTTAAATATGGACAATGGATTGGGCTTTTTGAACCCCCCCCCAGAGAATAGTGTGGGAAGCAGTGGTAAAGGCTCCCAGTTATGCTACTTGGGGTCTGCGTGAACCCCGTCCACGCGTGCTGTCGTTGTCGCTCTTCTCAGTAGTCCCCGACCACCGCCATTCCCCCGTCTCTTTGCCCAGACGCTTCAGGGGCCCGACTTCCAGGCTTGCCCTCCCCAGCGGTCATCAGCCGACCCTCAGGGACGTAGCCACCCACCGCTCTGCCAGTGCTTTAGGTCGGGAAACGGGGGGGGCTGCCTGGGTGACGTAAGTGCAGCTCCTTGACTTCCGAGGGGAGCATCTGCCCGCCGGCTGGGATTGTGGCCCCTCGGCTTGCTTAGCCGTCCGGTCCAAATTCAGGTTGGGTGGTCCTCATGTTGGAGCTGGCGGGAATGGCCTTCTGCAGAGAACACACCCGCCCCACCCCACCTGCAGCCAGGTGGGTGCCACACGGCAGCCTTCCCGAAACATAGTATGAATTTTTAAAATTTGTTTATTTTTGTTTCTCAACCACTTTATAATGTATTTTTTAATTTATTTTGTAATGTCTTGTTTTTAAGTATTGCTGCTATCCTTGTTATTCTTCCCACTGTTTTTATTGCTGATTTATTTTGTGAAAGTTGTACACTAATGTTCTGTTTTATGTCAAAATCAAAAGTATTTAAAGAAATACTAGTTCTATTTAACGTGGTTATGGAACCAGCTGGAAACACAAAACAAACAGTGATTGTACAGCAGGCTGGACCCAGGAGGTCAGGTTCATTTTGTTACATATGCAATAAACTCACGACTTTACATTTTTGGTATCTGTTATTTTGGTGTGGAAATGAGATTGCAGGTTTTTTTTACAATCCCACAAGAAAGGAAGTCAATGGTCAGAAATGCTGGCAAGTGCCTTCTAAGGAAAACAGACAAACGTAAGATTAGAGTTGTGGAAGAAACTAATGGAAACATGGCAGTCAGTCTCAAGTGCTCTATCAAGCAAAAACTGGGATCAAGAAAGTTTCGACTCTCTTGACTTATCCTTCACACGTTGGTCATATTTGTTGGTTTGGGTTTTTATTTTTCTTTTTTATATGTTTTATCATGGTAGAATACACATATTAATTTAACCATTGGTAAATGTACAATTCAGTGGTATTAAATACATTCACAGTATTGTGTAACCATCACCACTATATATTCAACCCCTTTTCATCTTCCCAAATTGAAACTCTACCTATTAACCAATAACTCCCATTCCTGCTTCTCTCCAACCCCTGGTAACCTCTATTCCACTTTCTATCTCTATGAATTTGCCTATTCTAGGTACTTCATATAAGGGGTATCATAAAACATTTGGCCTTCTGTGTCTCACTTATTTCAATTAGCATAACATTTTCGAGGTCCATCCATATTGGAGCATATATCAAAATTTCATTCCTTTTTATGACTGAATAATACTCCAGTGTAGGAATATACATTTTGTTTTTCCATTCATTTGATGGACACTTCATGTGATAATTTTATGTGTCAACTTAATTAGGCCATGGTACCCAGAAAAAACATTAAAGACTAATATCTGCATCTTCTTTAATTTTTCAGCAGTGTTCTGTAGTTTTCAGTGTACAAGTCTTTTGCCTCCTTGGTTAAGTTTATTCCTAAATATTGTATTCTTTTTGATTCTATTTCAAATGGAATTGTTTTCTTAATTTTCTTTTCAGATTGTTGTTAGTATATAGAAAGGCAACTGATTTTGGTGTGTTGATTTTGTATCCTCCAACTTCGCTGAATTCATTTATTATTTCTAATAGTGTATGTGTAATCTTTTGAGTTTTTACATATAAGGCCACGTTGTCTGCAAACATAATTTTATTTCTTCCTTTCTAATTTGGATGCCTTTTATTTCTTTTTCTTGCCTAATTGCTCTGGCTAGAACTTCCAGTACTATGTTGAATATAAGTGGTGAAAGTAGGCATCCTTGTCTGTTCCTGATCTTAGAGGAAAAGCTTTCAGTCTTTCACCATTGAGTATGATGTTATCTGTGGGATTTTTCATTTTATTATGTTGAGGTATATTCCTTCTATTCCTAGTTTGTTGAGTGTTTTTTATCATGAAAAGGTGTTGAATTTTGTCAAATGATTTTGCTGCATCAATTGAGATAATGACTTGGTTTTTTTCCCTTTATTCTGTTAACGTGGTATATTACATTGATGGATTTTTGTACATTGAGTTATCCTTGTATTCAAGGAATAAATCTTACTTTGTCATGATGTATAATCCTTTTATTATGCTATTGGATGCAATTTGCTAATATTGTGTTGGAGATTTTTGCATCAATATATCATGAGGGATATTGACCTATAGTTTTCTGTAATGTCTTTATCTGGCTTTGGTATCAGGGTGATGCTGGCCTCATAGAATGAGTTAGGAAGCATTCCCTCCTGTTCAAGTTTTTGGAAGAGTTTGAGAAGGATTGGTGTTAATTCTTTAAATGTTTGGTAGAATTCACTTGTGGAGCCATCTGATCCTGGGCTTTTCTTTGTTGAGAGGTTTTTGATTACTGATTCAATCTCCTTACTAGTTATAGGTTTATACAGATTTTCTGTTTCTTCATGATTCAGTCTTGGTAGGTTGTGTGTTTCTAGAAATTTGTCCATTTCATCTAGGTTATCCATTTTGTTGGCATACAATTATTCATAGTACTCTCTTATAATCCTTTTATTTCTGTAAAATTCACTGAAATGTCCCCTCTTTCTTTTCTGATTTTAGTTGAGTCATTGTCATTGTCTTTTTTTCTCTTCCTTAGTCATCTAGCTAAGGGTCTGTCATCACGTAGATTTTTTTGAAGAACCAACTCTTGGCTTCATTGATTTTTTTTCTGTTCTCTATTTTTTAAATCTCTGCTATAATATTTATTATTTCCTTCCTACTGCTAGCTTTGAGTTTAGTTTTTTCTTCTTTTTCTAGTTCCTTCTGGTGTAAAGTACATTGTTGATTTGAGACCTTTCTCCTTTTTTAATATAAGCATTTACAGCTGTGAATTTCCTTCTTAGCACTGCTTTCACAGTTTTGGTGTGCTGTTATTTTCATTGTCATTTGTCTCAAGATATTTTTTGATCTCCCTTGTGGTGTGTTGCTTAATTTCCGAATATTTATGAATTTTCTTTCCGTTATTGATTTCTAGCTGCATTCCATGTTGGCAAGAGCAAATACTTTGTATGGTTTCAGTCTTTTTAAATTTTTTGAGACTCGTTTTATGGCCTAACATATGGTCTGTTATGGAGAATGTTCCATGTGCACTTGAGGAGAATGTGTATTCTGCTATTGTTGGGAGGAGTGTTCTATATATGTCTGTTAGGTCCAGTTGGTCTATAGTGTTTGTCGTTCAAGTCCTGTTTCCGTACTGGTCTTCTACCTGGTTGTTATAACCTACTGAAAGTGGGGTATTGAAGAGTCTCCTACTATTATTGTAGAGCTATCTATTTTTGCCCTTCAGTGTTTGCTCTGGGTCTCTTTAGATTTATCTTTGTTGAAGTTCGTTGAGTTTCTTAAATTTGTATGTCCATTTCTTTCCTCAAATGTGAGAAATTTTTGTCCATTATTTCTTCAGATAAGCTCTCTGCCCCTTTCTCTTTCTCCTTCTGGGACTCCAATAATGCATATATTTATCTGCTCAGTGGTGTTCCATAAGTCCCTTAGGCTCTCTTCACTTTTCTTCATTCTTTTTTCTTTTTGTTTCTCTGATTTCAGTGATTTCAAATGACCTGTCCTCAAGTTCATGGATTATTTTCCCTGTTTGGGTGTGCTATTGAACCCCTTTATTGGATTTGTGTGTGTGTGTGAGTGTGTGTGTGTGTGTGAAATGTTGGCCCTGAGCTAACATCTGTGCCAATCTCCCTTTATTTTGTATGTGGGATGCCACCACAGCATGGCTTGATGAGTGGTGTAGGTCCGCGCCCAAGATCCAAACCCACGAACCTGGGCTGCTGTAGTG